GCTCTGATGCTATTTAATTACTGTGCAAATATAGCAAAAAAATCGACATTAATATGTGCACGATAACACACTCTAGCAAAGTTCTCTAAAATCGCCTAAGGCTATTTAAATTTGCCTTCTTCTCCTGATATTTAATTGTTAAACACCTGACTGCGTTCAATTGTAGCATTTTCGAGGCGCAATTTAAGACATTACCTCTGCTATCGGTTTTTTCATACCGCTAAAGGATGTACTCGTGCAAACATAATTCTTTTGTGATAGAAGGCATGTATAAGCACAGTTCGCCAGATTTCGTGCGATTCGGTCAAAGTTGCCAAAAATAAGGAGAAACCGCAAGGGATATCGCGTTGTGAATTCTTCAAAACTTCCATAAAATACTATTGTGAAGAGCCGGTTTCGTGAGTTATCCGCAGGTCCTACCACCGACATTTAGCAGTGCAGTACTTTTCGGTTTATATCATACATATTTTACTAAAAATAAAGAAAATAGACAAATCTAACCATTCGAAGACGCCATTTTGTTTAAATTTACCAATTGCTTTAAAAGGTAATGCTTCTCTCTGAGCCGCGTTTTGTCAATGTTATTCCTTGGAGGTTCGAAAGCTTGCGTTTCTGCGCGGGTGTTGCGTTATTTTTCGCTTAATGATTTCGATCACATGAGTTCTTGAGCTCCACCCGGTTTCTAAGATTTGCATTCTAAAATGGAAATTCAACGTCATATTGGCGAGCAGCTGGACTCCTTACTCAACGACTCCGACGGAGTTCAACTTTTTCATGACTTTCTTTCTACGCGCTTCTCTTCTGGCCACCTCCTGGACTTTTGGTTCGCATGCAAAGGATTTAGGGCCATTATTGATGGCGATGATCAACTTAAATTACTTCAAGTTGCCAAGGCCATCTACAGGACATACATCCGGACAGATGCTGCCTCGTCTGTTCCGGTCAATGAATCCACGAAAAGGGAGATACGTTCAACTCTCGCACTTTATTCTCACGCAAACCACAAAAATGTTGGTGGTGACAAAAAGCTTCCCATGCTACGTTCCCTTTTCGATGCTGCTCAAATGGATATTCAGAATACGCTTGCCCGAAGTTACTTTCTGGATTTTTTACATTCGGATGCCTTCCGGCTAGTTCGGCAGTCACTTTTCAATCCTGAAATTCTCGCTAATATGCAGTCCACCAGTTTAGGTAGTTCAAAAGCTTGTACGAAACTGACCAGGTGAGTTATTTAAAGTTTTTTAACGCACATATTCCACGTTTTATGTAACACTTTTCGTGCTTAAGCAGCTTGCGGCTCATGTTTTTAATCCAATCATCACCCAGTTGTAATAACTTTATAAATATACGGTTGCTATGGTCTAATACAGAGCTTGCGCTGACCGACTGACGGTCACGGTT